CTTGAATATTAATTATTTAATAAAGAAAATGATTAAAACATTGGTAAATAAAAAAATACAGAAAAAATGAGGTGATTTTGGCACCAAGCGCATGAACCACCCGAGCAGTGAGATAACTTGCAGTATTAACAATGTTTTATTCTTTTGTTTTGTCTTTAATAAATTGTCTTAGTGTTTTACTATTTTCTATCCCAAGCAACAGTTATTTTCGTGTAGTATATAATGAGTAAGGGAATGAAGCGGGGTGTGAAGGGGGTAAAAGCAGTGGATTCTGAAAGCGGGATTAAAATAGTGGTGGCGAAGCCGGGTTGGTGACGTGCTCGATTGTACTGTATACAGTAGATAATAAGATCTAAGCTTAATAGAGAAACACACTCCATCAAGTGTTGTTATAGGTTAAAACAGAGTAATAGAAAAAGACTTAATGATTTTCATGTGAATTCATGTGAGAAATTATGGAGTAAATACAAAATTTTTTACTAGACTTTTCATCAAAGTCAAAAAAAATTTAATTTCATTAATCTTAATTTTATAACACTACAGTATCTGTGAGGGAGCTGTGGCATGTCCCCTCTTACTGAAAAAAAATAACTTTGTAAGAGTACAATTCATAATTTTGCCAGTGGTTTATTCAATAAAATTGCATATTGTTATTAAGTATTTTGTAGTAAAGGAAGCAGAACACTTGGCTGAGTGGATACAATGCTCTCCTCCTGTTCCAGGGGTTGGTTGTCTGATTCCTGGGTACCCCCAGTTCACCCAGTTTTAAATAGGTGCATAAATTTATAGCTTTGGGACGCAAATGCAGTACAGTATAGTGCAATACCGGCTATGCTACCTTCTTGTGTACTCGAGGCTTAGTAATACGGTGTGCTCTATCTACACTGTCCCTAACAGGCAGTCATGCCTATGGGACCCACTTTCACTTTCACAGTAAAGGAAGAACTTTAAAAGAGTTGATATTTGAGACACTGCCACAGGGTAACTTGACAGAGGTTCACCTCAGGGGGGTTTCGTCAAATTTTGTAAGAGGGGACATGCCACGAGGTACTCAAGAGTACCCTCAAATTTTCCCATCAGTGAGATAAATGTTGTGGGTGTAGAGGGAAGTAAGAACAAAATACCATAGCAGCAAAAAGAAAAAAGGCCTGTTATGTGTGACAATTATCCCTCTGTATCAGATGCAACAAACAATGTCTTTTTTTTAAACACCCTCCTGAAAATTCCTCAGCCTTAGCTCATTCTTCTATTACACTAACCTTATAAGCAATGGCAGCATTGTTGACCAGCACATCAAAACCACCATAGGTCTTCTTGATATAATCAGCCAAATTAGCAATACTCTCTGCATCATCAACATCAAGCTGATGAAAATGAGCAGAAAGTCCAACCTGGAGAACAATAAAATTATAACATAATTACTAAACACTCCACAAATCATATAATTACTGTATAAAAGTGATGCATCTGTCATTAATTTTCTTTTTATGGACAATACTGTACCACAGACTTCAAGAACATTACCTTACTCAGCTCCTCAATGGCAGCACGACCCCTTCCTTCATCACGAGCGGTCAGGTAAACTTTACCATCAAAGTTACCACATAGTTCTCTCACTATACCAAATCCAATGCCTTTGTTGCCCCCAGTCACCTGGTGAAAATATTACAGTAATTTATTCTACATTAAACATTTTAAAAAAATTAACTCTTTTTTTTCATTTAATTTACACATTTCCATTTCACCACTGCAAATCCACCTATGTAATGAAAGCAGATAAAGTAACAAATATGAATTTATTTTTTATCCAATCTACACTTGCTTTTTCTGGTGATAAAAATATGTAGAAAGAAAAAAGAACATTGACTTAGCGCTTTCTGTAATATAACGTACAGTGAAAGAATAAAGTATCTTCCCAGCTTTGGCTGAAGTATAATGAAACCTGACTACCCAACACAGTGATTGGTTCCACAGGCCTGTCAACTGTTTATGGGCTCCACACACGTGTGTAGCAAATCAGTTGTGGATGGGGGAACATAGTGAGGAAAGCACTTGATATTAGGAAATATTCTGAAGTACCCGTTAAATAGTAATTACCGTACTTTTTACTATACAAAAATGTCTGAGTACAATACTGCATTAAAGAAAAGGTATTGGAATTTTCTGATGAAAATGGGGGTCCAGCCCCCCCCCCTCTCTCCCCTCTGCAAATGTCTCATCCATTCTGTGATGTATTTATTTAAACCCCGGGAAGATACTTCATACTCTCACTGTACTTGTACATTAAATTATTGTTTTCTGCCTATATTATTTAATTTCCTCATTTCTTTCAGTCACAAACACACTACCTTACAGTAACGCTAACTTTTCAAGTGGTTTCCATTGCAGATGTTATGCATTATATAGCCCTGATATGGACAATAAATTGTGCCCCATAGAAAAGAAAATCAACATACTACAATGCATAATTTAAGAGACATGTAAAGATGGCTAGTACCACACATTGAGCTACATAATTTTGATAGATAAAACCAAAGTAGTTTGACACAGCATTATACTTCAGAGGCTGAAATTGGATTACTGTAATTTAACTTTTGCTTTTATCTTCTTCACCACTGATCGGCTTGTTAGCCGCTTGGGCAATTGGTCACGTCTCTGTTACACACTGTTGGCAAGTACTGGACATGCACTGGCTCCTGAATGTATCTGAACCTGCTCCAGTGCTTCTCAAGTCTGGTCTTGAAAGAGCTCACACTCGATGCCATCACAACACTCTCTGGCAGATTGTTCCGAGAGTTCACAACTCTCACTCAGAAAAGTCACCCTTCACAGTTTATCTTACTGAACAAATTACAAGGTAAGAATAATTAAAGTTCTGCATTCAAATAGTTTTTTCACTGTCGGATATTCACACTTTAATACACAAGTTCTATATTAAAAACAGGTAAGCAGATTAGTATTGGCATCTATTTTGAGTCCCAAAGTGGTGGACAAGTACTCACACTCATCAAGCTAACTTTGAACAACTGCTATTTCTTAATCCATTTGTCAATACAGTACAGTAAATCAATCAAATAATCTCTCCCCCATCTTTCTATCTCTCCCTCTCTTTCTCTTCCTATATCTTACTCTACTGCATTGATATCTTTTCTCCGAGTCAATATTTTTTAATCTATTTTTCTTCCTCTATCAATCTCTTTCTCGATTACTCTACTTTCACATAGTGCTCACATTTGACACATGGGAAAGCATTAATCAAACAGTACAGTAGTCTTGGCACCAGATCCTTAACCAGTGCATGCTTATCAAACATTCATTTATGAGTCTTTAAAACAAAATTAAAATGCAAGGAATAAACTTCAGCATCCCACCTTTAAATAATATACAGGTGGTCCTCTACTTACAAACTTTCAGAAATACGAACAAACTGCTCATATGTATAATTGACTGGTCGACTATAATTCCAAAATAACAAGACTTTGAACCCTACGTATTTAAATGAACTGTTCTACTATACAATACCAGGGCTAACACTGTGCAGTACATGTAGGATGATGAAATACACAATCACTCACCACTGCAATACGTGTAGCCATGACAACTGTGTGCTGTTCCACAAATTCCTGAAGTGAATAAAATCAATGTAAACAATTCATATGACTAACTTCAGTACACAGTAATCATATTATTATAATTAACCTTTATAGACATGAATGAGTGACAGCCTCCAAATTGTAAAAATGAAGAATCTAGAAAAAATAAATGCTTTAAGAGTGACACATCTGTACTACTGTGATATTTGGATATTTTATTCTTTCCCAGGTGTAGCAAAACAACAGGATAATGATGTTAAAAGTAACACACAAACAGTACTGTATTGAGCTTTGTCTTATTTACTTTTAATATTTTACATTATCCTCTTCGCCACTGATCAGTCTGTTACCCGCTTGGTCAGTTGGTAACACCACTGTTACACACTGTTGGTAATTACCGTTCATACCTATACTAGGCAGGTACTGGCTCCAGAATATATCTGTACCTTTTCATCCTCTAACGCTACTGATCTGTGACAGTGTTGGCCAAGTTTGGTCTTGAATGAGCTCACATTCAGTGCCATCTTTTACTTTTATCCTCTTCACCACTGATTGGCTCGTTAGCCGCTTGGGCGATCGGTCACATTTCTGTCATGCACTAGCTCTCTGTTACGCACTGTTGGCAGGTACTGGGCATGCACCGGCTCCTGAATGTACCTGAACCTGCTCCAGTGTTGGTCAAGTCTGGTCTTGAAAGAGCTCACACTCGGTGCTGTCATAACACTTTCTGGCAGATTGTTCCAAGAGTTCACAACTCTCACTCCGAAAAAGTTTGCTCTCACAGTTTTCTGGACTTGCAGCTTCTTCAATCTTGAGCTGTGACCCCTTGTGGGGCGAGCGCCCGCCAGCTCCAAGTAAGGACACTCGACTGAGTAGTGCCCCTTGAGATGCTTATACACCTCAATTAGGTTGCCCCTTGCCCGTCTGTAGTATAAGCTAGGCAAGTTCAGGCGCTCCAATCTCTCAGGGTAGTTGAGGTGTCGAAGTGCAGGCACCAGTCTGGTGGCCCTCCTTTGAACATTTTCAACCAACTAACAGTCCCTAGCATATCTCGGGGACCAGACGGGGTGACAGTACTACAGATGGGGAAGCACTTCACTCTTGAAGATCGTTACGAGGGACGGACCGTCTAGATATCTGAATGACCTTCTTATAAAACCCAATAATTTATTTGCCTGATTTACCTTCTTCTCACAATGGCCTGAAAACTTCAGCTCATTGTCATCATACACACCTAGGTCCTTCTCACATTGTCTCAAATGGTGTAGTTTCTTCACCACATTGGGACATATGATACGCCTCCTTACGAAAACTTTTGCTTTGATATATTTTTGGAACTTATGGTTTCTTCAACCTTAAGCTGTGACCTTGAGTGGGGGCGGACATCGGCCACCTGTAGTACAGTATAAGCTAGTCAACTGCACAAACCTTACAAAAAGAAGGTTGTTAGTTAAATTGATTTGCTGAAATCCATTTCTAGAAATTGAAAGTGATCACCTAGCCTAAACTGTCAAAACCTATGATGTTAGATGAAAATTCAAAATTTAAACCAATTCTAGCATGATACAGTACAGGTATTAACTTAACTGTGTCACGTTAGGTTAAAATGTTAAAGTTCTGGAAATAGATATTTTTGAATCATGATAATTACAACAAATTTTACAATGTAGTACACTACAGTACAGGCTTTTCCTCGGCAAGATTTGTGACTCAGGACTTCACAATTGGGGATCCTATTATTGTATAACCTAACCTGACAAATTTAATGTAACGTATCCTAACCACATATGCAAATGACTGAATGCCATAATCTAGGTCATCAGCCTCAACCAATCAGAATGAATGTCGGAAAAATAGCAGAAGTACGGAAAGGTCCATCCATGACCAAACAAATAAATCCTTAAAACACTGCCTGGTGTTCGAAAACAAGTGCTTTACCTGCACAAGCTTCTGAAAGTATTACCTTCATTTAGTACTCTATTGAGTTAATACTGACGACTGACCTGTTGACGAGTTATTTGTTTTGGTGTTTATTTTCTTACTCTATTTTCAACAGTGAGTACTGATATGATAATCATTTCTTGTACAAATGCTTCATTTGGTAGATATTTAGGCACCCATGGTGCGCACTACTTTGTCTTCTCGGAGGTAATGCAGTGGTTCTATGTAAAGGCTAGGTTAGGTTAGGTTAGGTTAGGTTAGGTTAGGTTAGGTTAGGTTAGGTTGCGTTGCTTAAAAAAATTTACACAATCTACGACAGTGTCCTCCATAAAACGGTTTTATGTTAGGTTAGGTTGGGTTAAAAAAATAAATAATTAAATAATTGGCACAAACTACGAGTGTCTTCTAAAAAACACAGTGGTATGATATTTCTGCCGGAAATTAAGGATAACTGAGATATTAATTTTTAAATATTATTAGATTTCCTCAGTCACTACTGCCCCCATGATTTATTTATACCTGGCACTGGTCTTTCTTTTGATATTGGAAATATGTTTTTCATCAGGTATTAGATGAGTTTCGAACGAATTTGATATTCATTTCCGCTGGAAATCATTAGTGTTTGATATCCAACCCCCAAACCCCCCCCCCCCCAAACCCCCCCAACAATCTTAATGGAAAAAGTTGGATTTTTTTTCGAGTAAATCACATAAATAAAATACAAACCAACCAACAAAACCTAACCTAACCTAACCAGGAGGGCTCCGCCCCCCTTCCCCTGTGTTTTCTAAAAAAAAAAATTGCCTCACTATTTTTCTGATGAAACTCGGCAATTGACGTAAAATAGTCTTGATCACAATGTCAGCACAGCTCTCAGACCTTCTCCGCGAGACGTAAACAACAAATGCTACACTATGACTAAACAACTCTAATAATATTGAAAAAATAATATCTCGGTTATCCTTAATTTCCGGCGGAAATATCATGAGGAAAAAATTCTTAGAATTGTCTAAAGATTACGTAATACGTATCAATAACAGCGAAAGAAAGACCAAGGTAATATTATAACTTCACCAAATGTAAAGTAAGCAGAAACAAATAAATATTAATAACCTGCTTCTATTGTGTTTTATGATATCTGAAGGTCTTTACTATGGATGAATCAAGCCCTGAAGTTAGTTCTATCTCAACAAACATACAAGGGTAATTATTGACGGCCGACTCGCCGGTGATTTAGCATAGTAAACGATTATAAAAATGCCGCATTTTCACTTTCATAGAGGACACTCGTAGTTTGTGCAAATGACACTGTCAAGTTGGAGTACACTGGACACGTACTTACCACACTTTAACCCCTCAACTATGAATTTCTTTTTCGTTAAATTTCTTGTAAACTTACCAATAAATCAGAGGAGCTCTTATGAACCCAATAAGATAAGAGGCAAAGAACAGTGGGGTATTCACAACTGATAAGGTACTAATATGACGTTAATCGTTATCTTTTTACTTTATCCTCTTCACCACTGATCGGCTCGTTAGCCGCTGGGCGATCGGTCACGTCTCTGTTACTCACTGTTGGCAAGTACTGACTGTACTGGGCATGCACCGGCTCCTGAATGTACCTGAACTTGCTCCAGTGTTGGTCAAGTCTTGTCTTGAAAGAGCTCACACTCGGTGTCGTCACGAATCCATGACAAAACCCCAACGGACAAAACCCCAGTGGACAAAACCCCAGTGGACAAAACCCCAGTGGACAAAACCACAATGGACAAAACCCCAACCCATTATATGAAAAGTGGACAAAACAACAACAAAAACCCTAACCTAACCCAACCCAACCTAAACTAACCTAACCTAATTTAACCTAACCTAACCTTACCCAACCTAACCTATGTGCAATGTCATCATATATATAATGTGTTGTCAATATGTACAAGTCATGTATTTTTTTCTTTGACTTTATTTCCGTTGACCATTTTCATAAGTGGAGCATATATTGTAAGTGTCAGTTCCCTACAAATGTAAAATGGTTTTGTGTATTGTGGAGTGTGAAAAATAAAATGAATATATAATGTGTGTTTGCAAGCATAAAAGTGTTTTATTTTATATTTTACATATGAGACTGGGGTTTTGTGCACTTTTCATATAATGGGTTGGGGTTCTGTCCATTGGGGTTTTGTCCACTGGGGTTTTGTCCGTTGGGGTTTGTTCCGTATACCGCAGTGACAACACTTTCTGGTACATTGTTCCAAGAATTCACAACTCTCACTCCAAAAAAGTTTGCCGTCACAGTTTTCTGGACTTGCGGCTTCTTCAATCTTGAAATGTGACCCTGTAGTGGATACTCTCCCCTACAAACTGACAAACCTAGCCGAATACCATAGCGACGGAGTTAAGCCAACCAGCCAGGTTCTCACGGGGTGGGGTCGCCTCCTGCGATACTCACCCTTACATCTGACAAGCCTAGCCGCATTCCAATGCGGCGGGATTCAGCAAACCGGCGAGTTTCTCACGGGGAGGCGCCACCTGCAACGCTTGCATCCGGTCTTACTTCCGGTGGCTGAGTATATAAGCTCTCAGTCTCACCATCGAAATTCATTCTAATTACAGCCCTGCAACACGCAACACTTCCTCTCAGCAAACTCCTCTTCCTAGCAACAACTTTCCAGCACCAAACTGCACTGTACATTCAATATATTTATATACAGAAAACGCATTGTGAGTTTCCTTTCTCCAACCCATCCTCAGGGTGAGACCACATCACGAAACCCCACAAATGGTGACCCCGGAAAAACGCACTCACACAGGATGGAGGAGGAACGGATCACCCTCCCAGTCTTCAATCAGAACATTGAAGACTGGCTTATCCACACGGAGGCAGCTCTCATCGGCTCGACAGCTTCAGACAAACAAAAGTACGTCGCCCTGGTCTGTTCCCTGCCCACAGAAGTCGCCACGCAGGTCTCAGAGGCCATTACCAACCCTCCAGCTGACAACAAGTTCACTGCCCTGCGGGATGCTCTCAATTGGAGTTACCAGCGGCCTGGCGTCAATCTACTGCAAGACCTATCAAGTCTACCCCTCGGCAACTCCACGCCTGCACGTCTCTGGGACGAGATGCGTAGACGGAAATCCCGCCACACAGACAGGCTTCCTGACACTATCCTGCGCCAGCTTCACACTCAGAAGCTCCCTGCAGAAGTTCGTCTTGTCCTCTCAGTATTGGACTATTCCACTACCTCGGCCACCTACGCAGCCACGGCAAACAGGGTATTCCACGAATACACTGCTGTGCGCCATGCGTCCGCGCACAACTCCGCAGCTACATTTTCACTTTCCTCCGGTTTTGTCAATCTGACCAGCGCTCCCCAGACGACCAACACCTCACAAGACGTGCGGGACCTGCTACAGTCCCTACACCACAGGTTAGACACCCTAGAGCAGCTCTGCTCCTCCAAGCATGCAGCTGCTCCTCTTCCTGCCCCAAACACCACGCCCTACCGACCTCAACACACCCGCCCTGCCTCAGATGCCGCCCCCAACCCCCAGCACAGTGTATCTACCCCCTGTTGGTACTATCAACGTTTTGGTGCTAACGCTAGATGCTGTGAGGCTCCCTGCAACCACACGGCGAAGCGACATCGACAGAGACTGGTAGGCGCCATAACCTCCGCCACTATCAAGCAGCATATCACACGCCTTACTTCTGACCTTGACCACTTCACTCCTGCTGCCCGTCACGACCCACTGCAAAAACTACGACAAGCTGTTTCTGCATTCAAGGCTACTGCCCCACGCCAGCCTTCCCACCGACCTGAACACATTAATCCCGCATCTCCTCCGCCAGTCTGCCTACCATTGCCCTTGCAGCACCACCTCGCCCACAACATTTCTGGGTACCCTCTTTTCATCCTCAGGTACCTACTGCCCCTGACGTGGCCCCTGCTCCTGACGCGGACCCAGACACCCCACCAGGCGCTACTGAGGACTGTGTACCTGCCGCGAGAGAAGCACCACATTCCTCGCCTGTACAACCTTCTCTTACCCACAACCCTCCTTCTACCTCTGCTTCTCCCACAGATCTCATGTCTCTAGACAGAGTCGTCTCCCGCAGCGACCGGCTCATCCACGCCCCCGCCCGTAATATCTCACATGTGGGATACAACCCTGCCGACAACAAGTCTCCTGCAGCACTAGGAGGGGAGGGGGAGTATTGTAGTGGATACTCTCCCCTACAAACTGACAAGCCTAGCCGAATACCATAGCGATGGAGTTCAACCACTCGGCCAGGTTCTCACGGGGGGTGTCGCCACCTGTGACACTCTCCCTTACATCTGACAAGCCTAACCACATTCCAATGCGGAGGGATTCAGCAAACCGGCGAGTTTCTCACGGGGGGAGGGGGTGGTCGTCACCTGCGACGCTTGCATCCGGTCTTACTTCCGGTGGCCGAGTATATAAGCTCTCAGTCTCGCCATTGAAATTCATTCTAGCTACAGCCCTGCAACATGCAACACCTCCTCTCAGCAAACTCCTCTTCCAAGCAGCAACTTCCCAGCACCAAACTGCACTGTACATTCAATATCTTTATGTACAGAAAATGCATTGTGAGTTTCCTTTCTTCAACCCATCTTGAGGGTGAGACCACATCACGAAACCACACAACCCCTTGTGGGGCGAGCGTCCGCTAGCTCCAAGTAAAGACGCTCGACTGGGTAGTGCCCCTTGAGATGCTTATAAACCCCAATTAGATCACCCCTTGCACATCTGTAGTATAAGCTAGGCAAGTTCAGGAGCTCCAATCTCTCAGGGTAGCTGAGGTGCCGAAGTGCAGGCACCAGTCTGATGGCCCTCCTTTGAACATTTTCAACCAACTAACAGTCCCTAGCATATCTCGGGGACCAGACGGGGTAACAGAACCCCAGATGGGGAAGCACTTTACTCTTGAAGATCGTTACGAGGGACGGACCGTCTAGATATCTGAACGACCTTCTTATAAGACCCAATAATTTATTTGCCTGATTTACCTTCTTCTCACAATGGCCCGAGAACTTCAGCTCATTGTCAACAGACACACCTAGGTCCTTCTCACATTCAGTCTCAAATAGTGCAGTTTCTTCATCCTGTTGGGACATATGATACGCCTCCTCACCGTTGGTACGCCCCAGGCGCATCCTCTTACACTTCGTGACAGTGAATCTCAGCAGCCATTTCTTTCACCATTCTTGGAGCCCACAGAGGTCCTTCTGCAGCTCTTCACAGTCCACTTGGTTCTTGATTTCCCGAAATAACTTGGCGTCATCGGCAAACATTTGTATGGAGGAGTGTACAACGTCAGGCATGTCATTTATGAAACAAACAAACAACAGTGGGCCCAATACACTCCCCTGTGATACGCCGCTTGTGACAGGTACAGATAATAATTTCGTGCCATTAATCACCACACACTGCTTGCGGTCATGTAGAAAGTCTTCTATCCACGCTAGGACATTTCCCCGAATTCCGTACTCTTCCAGTTTGATTTTCAGCCTTTCATGGGGTACACTGTCGAAAGCCTTGGCAAAATCCAGGTAAATATTGTCGATATTACCACCCCGTTCCAGAATATGGGTCCAAATATCCAATACCTTGAGCAATTGTGTTAAGCAGGAGCGCGCCGGCATAAAACCGTGTTGGCAATCCTTCACAAGGTTGTTTCGTATTAGATGTTCCCTTGCGGCATCTTTGATAATACTCTCAAGTACTTTACATATTATGCTGGTCAGGCTCACCAGTCTATAGTTGTTCGTGGAGTGACGATCGCCCTTCTTGAAGATAGGACTCACATAAGCTACTTTCCATTCACTGGGGACCATTTGTTCATCCAGGCATTTACAAAACAGGATCTTCAGGGGCTCTACAAGCTCGTTGCACAACTCTCTTAGCACTCTAGGATGCACCATGTCAGGGCCGGGACTCTTATGGACCTTTCGCCTGGACAGTTTATTTCTAATACCCTCTTCTGTAAACACAATGTGAGTCAGTGCTATGTCGAACCGTCTGTCCTCAATCGCAGGAAGGTTAATTGCATCCTTTCTTGTGAACACCGAGGAAAAGAAGCTATTCAATGCCTCAGCTTTATCCTGGTCAGAATCTGCGTAACTACCATCTTCAAGCCTCAGGTCTGATACTCCTACTCGTATTTTCAATTTCGACGTTGCATAGATGTAAAACGCCTTTGGGTTTGACTTGACCTTGTAGTTTTACGAGATATTGTTTCACACTCAGGATGGGATGGAGAAAGGAAACTCACAATGTGCTCACTGGATACATATTGTATTGGATGTACAATGCAGCTTGTTGCTGGGTAGGTAGCATGGTAATACGCGTTGAGTAGAGAGAGCTGGGTGGTGAGGGTGCCCAGAGTGAGAGCACGCGGCTTGAGGGACGCCAAGGTCGCTGGCAGCTAGGGGGGACAGCTCTGTCTAGATCAGGGGTCACCAAACTTTTTTCACAGTGGGCCGGATAACTGAAAGAATGACGAGCGCGGGCCACATAATCATTCTGTTCAATGCTTGCAAGCCAGAACGAAAGCTCTGGTAACGTCAGAGCGTAGGCGGAGCTACCACGAGCCGGGGAAGGACT